ACTGAAGACTCAAACTTCAGTCAAAGTAACTAGTAAATGCATGCTCGACATTTTTGAAAATTCAAAGCCTATCAGTTCCTAAGGCTCCCAATCTGAATGTACTTGTTCTGAAAAAAGCAGAAGCTTTTTAGTGCTTTGCATAAATTCAAACTATGGGATATTACTCACAGAGAATAAACCTGTTGTGTCACCCATCTGTAACAGCCATCTGGGACAGATGTTTTAAGTGGAAAGTGCCATGAGATTTAGGGTCCACAATCAACTTATCTTACAACTTGATCATTTACCCCTTGCATGTCCCAGCAAGAAATTATCAAGTCCTATCTGACTGAAGGAAGCAATATACACACTGAACATTGGCTTGGCTCCCTTCCCTGATATATGAACAGTCCAGAAAGTAGATCAATGCTGTGCCTGTATCATCCTACCCCATCCCACTCAATCCCTGCTGCTCGGAGAGCTAAAGCTCGCCTGAATTTTTTACAGGCATGGAATTGACCATACACTATGTATGCAGAAGTCAGGAGCAAACAAATAGTCTATTTGCTTACTACCAAGGACCTTAGATCCTTAAGCCAAATAAATTCCCTTTAAAGGATGTTAATGATCAACAAGTACAAATATTTTTCATAAAATCCTGAAACAAAATTATTAGCTATTCACACCCAAGTGCTATGAATTTCTCTGCATGTCCATCTAGCAGAGAGCTGCATTATTTGCTGTCACACTCAGTAAATTGATCTACTGGCCTTTAAAGGTGTCATCTTTACTCATTACTATTTCTATGATCACTCCAGCACTGCCAGCATTGTACCAATGACCTGAGTTCTGACTACAACTTTTAACCTCTGCTAATCACAAAATTGCAAGATTGAATTCCACATATAAAGCAGTATACAAAGAGACAGAAGAAACCAAAGGACTAGGCTGCTTTGCTTCAAAGGTCATTGATCTCTATATGGTAACAATTTGATGAGAAAGGTAAGTTAATGCACTCTTAAGTGCAACATACATTTTTTTCAAGCTCAAGGTAAAACATCAGAACTGGTGACACTGCAATACAGAATTAAGGTAAATGGGCTTCATAGACAAGAGTTGGATTATATTATGCTCACCATGATAAAAGCCACCCAACTGGTCACACGTCACAGCCACTGTCCTCACAGTCGCCAGAGCAATGTGACCGCATCCTCAGAGGGAGACCGCACCGCCCTGGAAAGTTTGAGGCAGATGTGGCTGAGGGCCAAATGCCATATCTTCTGCATGCTCTCCCCAGTATGCTTCCAAACTATTTCAGCCACAATGCCAGAGACCAGAACTCCATTTCTGCCCTGAGATATCCCAGGCTGACAAATAACAGCAGTCCCCCAGCCCCACACCAGTTGACTAAGAGGAACTGTTTAAAACCGAGTAGTACCAATACGGCTTGGAAAACGTACCAAAACACAAGATATTCAACACACTCTAGACTATGTTCTAGCACACTCTAAGTGACACACGCAAGAGGTTTTAAAGAAAAGACACAATGAACATCCAAGCTCCCTAGCAACGCACAGGACTTGCACGCTCTAGCACGGCATCGCAGGCAAACAGCTCCATAACCATCACTACTGAGGCACTTCTGCTTAGAAAATGACCACCTGCATACTTCTCGGGCAACACCCTGCAAGCCAGGCAGTGCTCAAAAAGACATGACAACATCTTGGGAAAGAAAGGACACGTGTAGAGGTCAACATGACCTCTAACATGAGCATGTACTTCAACTGGAAAATGAACATCAGCTGAAATAACATCACCTCCCATTCACTGACACCCCTGGGTGGCACAGGAACTAAATGCAGTGGTGACCTGCAACTCTCGGCCACACACACACATATATATACAACCACAGCCAAGTCAAACCGCAGGAAAAGTTGGAATTTTCATCATGCCTCACTAGAGAAAAACATTATTAAAACTATTATGCTTGGAAAACTTCCAGCTCTATGAATCTGACAAAGACATTTATGATGATAAAAGAATAATAATGACCAGTAAAACCCCTGTACATAAAAGCACTAAGAGTTTTAGTCAGACATCCAAGGGAAGAACATTTTAAACAAGTTGATGTGCAACTTCTATAGGAAAGGAGTAGCATGACTTTTCCATTTCATAAACTGAAGTTTAACTTCACAGCTATCTGTATCCTATCACACTTTTCCTGCCACACTTAACATCTCCTGTTCTATTACAGGTCAGAGCAACTTATCTTGCAGGATATTTTTGATGAAAATGAACTTTAGGCTTCAATAAAAACAACCTAATGTCCTTTCTGCGATAGCTATTTTTTGACACTTCGATCCACTTTGCATGTCTACCCTTTGAAGTATGCCTAACACAAGAAGGAATTCGTAGCACCATCCACCAACAGGGATGCGTTACAGTAAGACATATTGACATGCTTGCTCTTTTTATTGATCGATGCAGCAGGTTGTTATTTAAGGTAACGTTAACAGACATGTCACATTAGAGAAAAAAATTACTTCACAGTTTTTGGAAAAAACATTTGGCAGAGTGCTGCCATCTGCACCAATATTTGAAAACCAACCCATTCAAATGTGCATAATTTACTTAATCTTATCAAGATATTTGAAAATTAGAGGCTTTTTATTACATTTTCCAAAGAAGCTTCACTTTGCATATCGAGTATTATATCCATCTGGAAAACTGGCCCTTGAAACAGCCTTAACTTTTCAAGTCCATACCACCTTGTTATTTCAGGCTCTTCACACATACCAAGCATACGACTTCTGGAAGCTGCTTTTGGGAGAAAAGGGTAAGGGGAGACAAAACCCACAAAGATTGCTCAAATGACGACAATAAGAATTTTAAGACTCTCAAAAATATGTATACTGAAGTGTTGTGATGATTTCCTGCAATTTTTCCCATTTATTTTAGAATCAGGCACAAGAGAACAGCTTAGAGGAATCCCTTTTCTTCAATAGGTTTGTGAGCTTCAAGAGGTTAAGAATTTCACAGCTGATTATGCTGACAAACAACTCTGATTTTGGACCAGTACAAGCAGTAAGTGACATAAGAAAAGAATTTCCAACACACACACACTGGGGCTGAAGCCTATTTGGGATTGCACCTGTTAGAGCCCAGAAACCAGAAATGGAAACTGTGGCCACTTATAGTTTATTTGAAGAAAACATCTTCTGCCACCTTGCCTCTGGTGCCTCTCGGTGATCACCCTTGTTTCAAAGGGGTGTCCCTTGTTTCATGTATTTGCTGTTTAAGCCTGGGAAAGAAGGAATGAAGCCTCCAAGATTTAAGCTAACCAACACAGCTGCCCACTAAACCTTCTCGACTACAGCTCTTTACCAAACCACAATGTTTAAAATACAAGAGGCGGCTTTCAATTTTATCCTGAGCCTCTGCTGAACAGTACACCTGAAGCAGACAGCAGCAGCATGCAAGAAAAGATTTCTTGAATGATTCATTAACAGTGCAGTCAAAACCAAATAGGCTTTATTAGAGTATCATTAAGCTTCACTGTTAACAGATCGGTGAAATATTCAGGGTAAAGCTTTGGGAAAAGGTAGTTGAAAAGTCTTTCTACACAGCCTGGAAGTTTCTAGTACCAGCCCACTAGGCCTTTCTGGACATTTCCTAAGCTCTGGAAGACTATAAAGTATAGGCTTCAGAGGACTGTGCTGCTGTGCGTTCTGAGCTGCTGAGCAAACTGTGGGAGGGGGACTGTGAAGCAGAAATGAAAAAGAAATCTCAAGCTGACTTAGCCATTTGCTCTAGAAAAACAATAATTTTCCAGGAATACGTTCTAAACAGCTGAACCTGCTTATCAAGAGGCTGGATGTGAACCATTCATCCAAGGAATGCTCAGTAATGAAAGATTAACATGCACTGCACTTCAGGGAGTTTGAACATGAGACTCTCTCCCATCTTCAAATCTATTTTTCTGAATTTTTGTGTGCCGTATTTACAATGCCCACTTCTGTTCTTAAGGTAGCAGCAGAAAGAATATGTTCTTTGAGTAAACAGATTTGGACAGACTGCAGAAATTTGCCAAATACTGATTTTGTTAGGGCTGAGCTTAAAATTTCAATCTTGTTTCAGATTTACATAGAATTAATTTTTAAAAACTGATTTGTAAAACAAATGTATTGTATTTTATTAAAATAAGTGAATTGTACTACCTCAAATAATAAACTGAAACATCTATGATAATTAAGTATTTAAGAGTAGCAGGACATTCTGTTGGAACACACAAGAAAACACTTTTTTACTGTGAGGATGACTGAGAATGGAGCAGGTCACTCAGAGGAGCTGTGGAGTCTCCATCCTTGGAGATATTCAAAAGCCATCTGGACACGGTCATGGGCAGCCTGCTCTAGGTGACTCTGCTTGAGCAGAGGGGTTGGACCAAGTGACCTCCAGAGGTCCCATACAACCTCAACCATTCTGTGCTCCTGAAATGTTTCTCAAAACAAATCCCCTTACTACCATCAAACATGGCAGACAACTTGTATAATTTCTGGAATCAATGAACGCTAGCATCAGATGTGCTGTGGCTCTCCTGGAGAGGTAAGTCAGATCTCTCCATGTTCTCACTGACAACATGCTCAGGCAAGGTTACAGGCAGACACCGCCTGGCTGGCCCAGATGTGGTTACTGATAGTATACAACAGCAGTCAGCCAACTGATCTAGAATGTTTTATTCTACAAGCATTTTCTTCAGTGGCACTTTCAGTCAAGTCTCTCCCCGCTCCCTCTCTATCAGTTTTTACAAAACTTAATACCTTTGCGTCTATGTTCTATCAAACTGGAAGAAACCATTTGGTGAACACCAATTATAAGTGATGAAACTGACAGTTCAATATATAAGCCCTTATTTCTCTTGGAAACCAAGTTAAAAACATGTTACAAGGAGTACAGTCTTCTGTTGAACAATGTTTGTGTAAAGCATACTAAGCATCCAAGAATTACAGGAGAAGCATTACCTGCTTGTAATTCTCCGGTTGTCTAACAAGATCTGTTTCTGTGACAGAAAAATGTCCAAGGATCTGGTCCACATGAGAGCCACTAGTGAATAAATGGATCTGGAATAGATTAAATTAGAAGATATTTGTCAGTACAAGGACCATTAACAACATTATTAGCAATCATCTAACGGCTGCCTGGATTGGAACAGCGATGTGAACCGGTGGTTACAAGCCCATTCCCAATGGACAAGTACAAATGTAACTACTACCACCAATACAACAGACTTTTTCAAAACAGCCTGCAGGAAATGATGATCATGCACCACAATCATCTCACAAAACAGTCCATCTGGTATTGTTACCAGAACCACATGTAGGAATTGCTACTGCTGCTGCCACAGTAAAAAACTGAAAGACTCCTCTCTTCATCCTGCCTTAAAGTCTATTTCCTTACACTCCACATGCTCTTGTGCATAGCATGAAGAGAAAAACCATTTACACAGATAGCAGAAGTCTTCACAGAGGTAAAGGATATCCTCAGCATAATTTTTGATTTCTTCCTTTAAAGCAGAAAATGATACCTAGCTACAGTAAGTTTCTCTTTTGCTGCTATATATTGTTGGCTTTCACTTACTGGGACCTTGTCCCAGCTGTACTGGTGATGGTATCATCAATTACTTGACGAAGAAGCTTCCCAAGTTAGTCAAGGGAACAATAAAAAGCAATTCCTCCTATTCAGAGCTGATCCCTTTGTTACTGTAATAACTGCAGCTGCCAAACAAGATAGCAGTGCACATTTGTCAGACAATCGCTCATATTTCATTAATATTTCTGCCAGAAGACAGAGAATGTTTCCTGCTTTTCTTCCTTTATTCTAATATGAACTTTATCATACACTTGGGTATTGACAACTATTTTAAAGTTGACAGGCACTGGGTAATTATCAACCCTTCCCTGAAACTTCAGAATATTTTAGCATTCCTTTCCCAAAACTCACTTCTGGTGACAACCATCTGTCATATGTGCAGAGCTATGTGAGTTTAAAAATAAAAGAGCACCTCCCTACACAATGTTCTTCCTTTCTACTTGCCACTCCTCTCCCTGCTGCATTCTTGCGTAACTCAGGCTGTCAAACCTTTGGGCCTCCAGCACCAGGGATGAATTTCAGCCCCTCTTTGAAAGTATGTTGCAGCAACATCACTGGCTAAAGACAAAAATACTCTTAAACTGCAACAATAGAGGAATAAGGTGTTCCCCGAGACCAGACTAGACGGATGCTGGAATAATCCAGTATTTGTAACTGAAATAATCCAGTATTTGTATTTTTACAATCTGTTATCGATAACCACAACATACCGCAGGTGAAACAAGGCTTAAAGAGGGAAACAGTACCAAGGTGAGAGAAGCAGGTGAGAAGGTAAGAGACAGAGCACGCGTAGCTGTTGCTGTGTGGCACTGGAACCAACTGAGGAGGTGGCAGGTCTGATTTAACCTTACACTAACCTTAGCATGAGAGTACAAGCACAGCTCCCCACTGAGCACTACTTCTGGAGAGTTTCTAACTACCAATTCCTAAATGCCCTTGAGCTTAGACACCCTGCAGGGAGATTAGCTTGTCTAATTCACCTAAGAGAAGATGAAAAAGGAGCTTGTTCGTAGTTCACACACACTTGCATGAGAGAAAAAACTCCTACTGCATTAAAGAACGCCCTATTGAGATCTAATGGCAAATCCACTTTTGGAAAATAAAAAAAAAAATTCAAACCAAATATCTCAAGACAAAGATATAATTAACCAATGTAGTAATTTACAGAGTAACATGGCAGATTCTTCATGCCAAGATACAGATGCACCTAACAATGCAGTTTAGCTCACTCATAAATTACTGACAATTAATGGTAATCACCCAGCACCAGTCTCTGCTCTGTTAACCAGGGATCAAGACTTTGTCCTTGTCTCTTTACTCTTTCACTACAACATCAGATACATACATACGACCAACCCAATCCACTGTAATACATCTTATTTTATATTGTTTATCTTAGAGGAGGCACAAGAAACCACTCCACTCATAGGAGGCATTTCCCAGTGCTGCTCTGCATTCTTACTAGTAGAATACAACTCTTGCTCTTACAGTTTCCAAGTGTATTACAATCGCCATTGTCATTTTACCATGATCCAATACTGTCAATTATGTTAAACTCTTCTTCTGTCATCAAGAATTCCATTTAATAAGATCTTATTCCAACTAACTTATATCCATAGTCCACAATCAGATGTTCACCTGCTTAACAAAATTAACCTCAGAACTCAATCTAACCTCCCCCTATTTCAGGTGTGATTTGTGTCCTAGTCTTTAGTGGAGGGAGGATAGCTGAAAATACCCACAGGAAATCCATCAGTTTTGCAGAAACTCACTTGTTCCAGTATTTCTTTTTACATGCTGATTGTGGCACAGAGCATTTAACAGACCCAAAAAACAATGCCAGTTTTAAACTATACAGGTTCCTACCTGTTTTTCTGAAATTATGCAAGGCTTCTTGTTCACATTTTAGAAGGCAAAGTGGTAATTCAAAGCCTCACTAAAAACAGCTGCTCTCCCCTATGAATTCAAGAGGGATCAAAAACCAGGCAGAAAGACATTCCTCTGGCACTTGACAGAAAGAGGAATAAAAAGAAAAGAAGGAACCAAGAGGCATGCCTTAACACACTAATTTATCCTTCACACTTCCACGTATTTGAAGCTATATCAGGTAAATATGTACCACTGAGAATTTCGAGGGAATTATAATGGTATTACTATATTATACTTTCAAAGCAGGCCAACCTGTCCATGTTGAGAAGCCATTATAATGTTATTCAACAGCTCATAGCCGCAGGCTGCAAAATTCCTCAGCAACAGAGAGGTTAAGATTTCCCTGAGGAAGTTTTCCTCCTACAGCAGGGCATGTGTGTGCCTGTAAGCTTCAACATCCCTTCTGGGAGCTGAAGTCACTGAAAAGCAGCTCATCAGAAGAACCAGCAAAGAGGAACAGCCAGTCAGACCACCTAACAAGCAGATCCCAACACATAACCGGCTGTAGCTCCAGGGAGGCCTCCCTCTTCAGTAACCTACACTGGTTACTGCAGAACTTCACACCATCAACCTTAAGTGACTGCGGGCAGGACAGAGTAGAAAGGGGCCCCAGCAATTTGTTTCAGTTATCATTTGTGTACTTTAGAGAAAGAATAGCCATTTATTTTTGCCTGTTTCCCCCTCGTATTTCCCGCCTACTTCTCTCTTT